TTTGAGAGCCCTGAACTGCGTGCCATGATGCCCTCGGCTTCGCCTCGGGCATATGGCGCGCAGTGCAGGAATCTCAAACTTTCTGCCCTTGTAGTGTAATATACTATTTCCCACGTTAATCAAATGGGAAATTGAAATTTTCGACTCGGCACCTCTTAATATTAATATTAAGAGCTCTAATTTTCACAGGATTTTTTTTTTCGTCATGTCGAATAATATTTTCAATATTAATAAGAAAAAAAAATTGTCGATTTTTTTGAATCAGTTTAATGTACATGTATGATTTGCCATGATAAAAAGTAACAGATATTAAATGATAATTATTACTTCGGTTATAAGACAAGTAACTTCATAAGTCAAAACAACAATAGGAAATCCTTCCATGATCAAATTAAATACTAAATGGATTTCGGTGACTGACTTCGCATGTTTATAAGGAGAGTTTTCATAGATCAGTGGATGCAATATATTATAAGTAAGAAAAAATATCTTCCCACAAGAATTTATAATAATTAGGAATACTGGCAGTGAATAATAACGAGATATTTCTTCAGTTGTAGAATAAAACATTTCGTAGATTCGCCTGAGGTCGATAATTATTCGTGTAATTATTCTCTCATCTGAAAAACGTATTCTCGTTGTTAGTTTTACAAATGCCGTGTGCAAGCTGAAGAACTTCTTCTTCTGTAGTTCCACCATAATCACGTATTGCATCAGTAAACAACAAGAAATAAATGCTGGTAAATAAACAATTATGCTAAGAGATAGTGAGATTTCATATGCGAATGGATACGTAACAAGTGTGCCGAACCATATACACGAATTTATTATATTCAAAATTGTTATTCGGTATTCGAATTGATTCAGTGAAAAAACACCACACAAATTTCGATTATTATTAATCATTTTATTGTTTTCTATCATAGTATTTATTAATTTGACGGCTTTTGATTGATACAAAATCATTATTATCCATAATGACAACAACACAACAACACCCACAACTGCTTTGATAATGTATATTAAGTCAATAATTTTTGATGTATGAGGTAAATCATTATGGAGAAGCTGTTTCAAAACGATAGCACCCAATATAAATGTAAGTATTATTAGCACACTATTGTATAGATTTCCAAGTTGTGAATGCTTCATTTTTATTGTTTTTAAGTTACATTCATCCAATTTTTCAACATTTTCAAATGTGAATGGCGCTAATCCAATAATTTTGAAAAACATGTATTTAACTTTTACTAAATCAATTGCGAACATTTTTGCTACGAACGATTTTATTAATTAAACACAAAAGACTGCAGTTAAGTCAACTATTATTCGTTGAATTGGTTTTTCAACTGTATTTCACTAGATGTATATTCACTAGATGCTTCAAAGAGAATATAAAATAACACTGAGTTCATGATTTATTAATTATTGATGCGCCAACAATCTGATTTAACGTGTTGATCTACATAAAAATTAGACATGTTGTAAAAATATGTACGAATATATCCATTGATTGTATATCATGTCATAAATAAAATATATTTATTGGATTTTAAGTGTTCGAGTGTACTCTGTTAATCTAGATAAGTAGTATATGTCTTTACATTAAAAATTCAATAGTTTTTAATAGTCGGTTGATATGAATCTATGAGTAAAAAATAATAAATAGTATATTACGACGTATAAAATTAGTATATTACGACCCAAGGCCAGAAAGTCTGATTTCCTGGCGTATGTGATATGATGGCCGAGGCTATCATATCACATACGTCAGGGCATCTAACATTCTGGTCATGGGTTGTATACTATTTTTCTTGCTCCCGGGGAAGGGGTTTTGCAAAACTGAGGCGAAGCCGAGGTTTTACTGGTCGGGGCGGGTATAATAAAAAAGTAAAAATTAATACATAATAAAAAAATAAGTTATTTTAAAGTTTATTAACAAACGCTCTGATTAAGAGAGATAACTTGCACAGAACTTGTCACAAATATTTAAACTTGATTTCATAACAGAATTAATTTTTTTAAGTTGATTAAAAATTAGTTTTTAATTAGATGGCTAAGAAAGATTGAAATTTAATTATTAGAAGTTTGTAGAGTACATGGATTGTTTTATAAACATCGCTTTACTAGCTGTCAAAATATAAAAGAAAGCAAGTAAAATCTACAAAACTTTTATATTTTATTTTTTCTAAAATTTTTGTATAAATTATTTGTGCAGTATTATATTATTAAATAGTTCATTAACAATAATCTAGTAAGAAATTATTTTTATTTATTTGACACTTTTTGGTTAGTTTATGTGTTGACATGTTACATACAGACGATGTTGTGACTGTTATATACAGTCGAAACTCGCTGTATAGGCCGGTCGCACCACGAAAGTACGAAAGAAAGCGAGGCTCTGTGCTGCCGGCCAGAAAATATGCGTAGCGCGCATGCGTAGAGAGCCGGCTGAGCCGGCCATAAATGTTGCTCTTCCTGGAGTAAAGTGCGTCCAGGATGAGCGTACTTTCGGCTAGGAGAGCAAGAAAAATTAATTGGCAGTTGTGAAACTTAGTTTACTAATATGGAATTTTTTTAGCTTCCTGATAAGATAATTATAAATTTTTTTAATCAAGTAACAAATTTTACTCCCGTGATACTCTTATGTTTCGATTATTGTACTAATAGAAAAAAAATTTTGATTAAAAAACAATCATCTGTAGATTTATGACTGCATGAATCATGATGATGGGAAGCACCAGAGAGTGCGTTACGACCGAAAAAATTTTTTTGCCATATTTCGGCAACTATTTTTATTATTATATCCTTGTTAGTTCACGGAATTAAGATATTTTGCATACTATTATCAAGATAATTTAATGGAGATTAATTCCATACTTTTCCAAAATTGATTTAGTACAATATAAACGAAAAAAATCATTAGAATAGTTTAAAAAATTTTCCTATCCGTCAAGTATGAAACCCGTAAACACTGTAACTTGCCAAAAAATCCATTAATTAAGTCAAATTTTTTTTTCTTAATTCTTTAAAGGAATTTTAGGTCCCTTATCGCGAATGGCTATGTAACTCAATGTAGTTTAATTGCAATTAATAGAATAAAAAAACTCTATATCTATACATATTATGTACATTTATCTCACTAGGGGCACCTAGGCATTATCGTCCTATTATAGCTGTTTTTTATATTTTTTTTTCACATTATTTTTATTTCATTATTATTTCATAGTTGAATGAGCATTATGTGTCGTGTATTTTTCAATTTTCCAAACTTTTTAAATAATATTAATAATTCCAAGAATCAATGTAAGCGAGTAAAAGAGTTAGAAATAATAGAGTAAAGACACTCAAAGCGTAGAAGCCTGTTCAGAAGAAAGAGAAAAAATGATTAAGAAAAGAAAGAAAGGAAAGAAGCGAGTGCGAAAGAGACAGCTAGCAGACCAGTGACGAGCTGTAGTAGGGAGCGTGAACGCGAAGCACTAAAGAGAAACAGTGAAGAGTAAAGTTGGTACGTAGTTCGGCATTGACCGCGAGATGGCTGCCGCTATGCGAGCGCTGTCTCTATAAACAGTCCGATTTGGAATCCTTATAAAGTTGAACTCCTGTAAATTTGACTTCGAGAGAGGGAAAGCTATTCTTGTCTTCTTTTGCTCATCTGCTAGTATAGTCACCTTCAATTCGAATTCCGAAAACTTCGCTTTGAATTAATAAAAGTTCCACTGTGAGCCATTTTATGGTCCGGTTTGAGCAGTTCAATTCAAGCTGTTGATAGCAGGGTGGTGCACCTAGCCGAGAGAGAAGTCTACAAAAGTAACTGTAATACGCTTTTGTATCCCGTACGTATTGTCCCATTTGCAATTTCAGAGAAGAGTATTTCTGTAGAAATTGTAGAAAAGTTATTTAATTCGTATTTGGCATGTTTGCTGAGCTAGGGTTGCCTTGTATTGTCACACTGAAAAGTAGATTTTTTGACGCAATAACTAGGAAATTTGATTGTGCACTTAAGGAGAGGTGCGACTACATAAACGGAGGTGCCCCGTGAGTCCGGGGTTTCAACGGGTTTCTAACCTCTTCTGGTTTTGATACAGGGTTCTGTGGGTAGCAGCTAATTTAGTGGCGAAGGGAGTGAGCCTAGACCGTGGACGTAAACGTGAGTCCTGAGTAAGCTTTGTAGAGTGTTGAGATAGTGGTTGCGGCTTGTCACAGAGAGAGATAATTAGCGAGACGGAGTAAATACTCTCACATTTGTAATTGGATTCGTATTTGTGTTTGTATTGTTGTGGCAATAAGAATTGAATCGTATGTATCAGTGCAGTATTTAAGTTTTTGTAAACAGTTCTTTGTAATATATAAAATCTTAATATCGTTATTATTGTATTACATTGCTTACATGTTAGTTTTTAGCTTGATATATTGATAAAGCTTATTATAAAGCTTATATGAGAAATTAATTTTCAAAATTCTTTTATTTATCTGTGTTACACGATCTCTCATTTAAACGCTGAAATCAGATGAGCTAAAGTACAAGAAAAACCGTGAGTAAAATCGTGGTTAGGATTTCAATCCTTCCATAACTTCACAAATCTTGATGCAAGAAAATTCGATTGAAGACAACTAGTTATCACACTTCGAGAATTTCTCGCCTATAATCTTGCCATCTTGACTAGATAGATTAATATTGTCGAACAATAAAAATGAATTCTTCTTTTTTAACTAGTAAAAATTTGATATTCTTAGTTCAAGACTTAGTTTCTTTATTCAGTATAACAAAAAGAAACTTAAAAAGATCAAATTTTTACTTCAACATTTTATAAAACGTTTTTGAGAAAACTCACTACCGATAATATATCTAATAAGGAAACTTGATCAAATTCTATTGTATTCTAGAAAGCTTCCAACCCCCACGTAAAAATTTGATAAATTAAGATATAAAATAACGTATAAAAAAGTAAACATCTAAATATATAAAACTTTTATAAATCTATATATCTACTATATATGGGTCATACCATGTTAAATCGACCAATGGTTAGAATCGACCCCTTTCGTCATGAATAGATTTTGGTCAGAAATTTCTTTTCATCATAAAAGAGGGTCTAGCGAAGAAAATATTCAACTTCCGTACGGAAATTGCAGGGGTGATGATAACAAAAAACATTTCTGAACTATTGCTCCTGTAGTGTTGAAACTCATTAGGAATATCACTTTTGTCATGTAGGAATCTGCTTAGAATAGATTTTACGAAATTTGACTGACAAACAGAAATTTCAAGGTTGATATAATCTTACATTTTTAACTTTCTGTTTTTTTTTTTTTAATTTACGCCGGTCAATCAATGATTTTCAAAAATTGGGAAGTTATTGTTTTTATCTCGATTTTTAAAAATTTATATCTCATTAAATCTTCACTTTTTAAGGTCCCAAAAAGATATTCTGACAATTTTCACGTTATTGTCTGTATGGATGTGTGTATGCAGAAAAAAAAAACTATTTGAATCAAGTAAATAACTTTAAAGAACTTCATCTTCTTGATTTCAGTATGAAAATTCGTAAACCATGAAATATTCTTCTCTAAAATTTTTTTTTAATTCAAAAACTTTTCGTCTTGATTCAAGACAATTAAACTTATCGAAATTATTTTGGTGGTTCAATAATCTATGTAAATCTTTTCCAACTTTTGAATAGCTTGACTGATCAAAATACGGATTAAGGTATTCCAAATAAATTTTTCGGAATTGCAAAAATAAAATTTTCAAAAAAATTTTTTTCTAGAATAACTTCTCAACTGCAATATAGATCGATTCTTAAATTAAATCGGCTCTTCTACTCATAATAAGACATCGATTGCTTTAAGAAGCCTCAAAATCGTTCAATTAATATTAAAATAGTTACTTTATAACCATCAAGATTAATTGTATTGTTCGCTTGGACATTGATTAAAACTACACGGAGAGAAATTTATAGGAATCTTTCCAACAATTACGGGAATGGATCCTATAATAAAATTATCATTATAGCCATTAATCCTATACTCATTATGGGAACCATACCCATAATTTATTGGAAACGTTCCTATACAATAATGGAATAGCTTCAATATATTATGGGAATGGTTCCTATAATATTATAGAAATGGTTCCTATAATATTAAAGGAATGGTTCCTATAATATTATAGGAATGGTTCCTATAATATTATGGGAATGACGCACATAATAATAGAAAAAAGTTTATTTTCTTAATAATGAAGCAATCACTTCAAAAATATAAAG